ATGTTATTTGATTTTAATCATTTATGCCTGATTAGTTTTCCAACACTTTTTTTAAAACATTTACAGTCAAAGAGAATACACCATGTTTTAAATTTCATTGTCAAAAAATAAAAGAAAGTGAAATGAGAAACAATACAAATTTATCTTATGCATGTTTTAACAAGAGATACTTCATACTAACAAATGAAAGTGGTTTGGGATTCTCGATTTTCATTTGAAATATCCTATTCAAATCTGATAACACTGTGCTGTTTTTCCGAACATGAGTTTACAGACTCGTAAAATCATGATAGGTATTTGGTTTTACACATTAGAAGTTAGCGTTTGTTACTCAAATAGCTGGTGTAATGCTTATCTAAGTGGCAATATCTACATTGTACTTTTAATTTTTTATGACTAAAGATATTTTCTTCTCAAATATTAATGATATTGTCCTCAAAATAGATTAGTCAATAAATACGAAATTTAAAGATGTCAATAGTGACTTTCTTCTAATTAAACAACCTTATTTGTACTTAAAGTGCATGGAAGGTGATTTATGGTATCACTCACATTGTATAGTTGTAATAATGATGAAGCAAAAAACAAATGATGGCGTTCTTCCCACAAAGCTGGGTCTTTTTCATTGTGATTGATTTCTTTTTACTCATTTATCTATGAATAGTCAATAGATGCTTATTGGGTGGTTCTGCTGGGCCTGGCACTGTGCGGGGTATGGCGGGGACAGATGGGAAAATAAATATGACCTTTGCCCTCAAGGAGTTCATTGTCGTGCCAGAAACATTTCTCCTGGAGGCAGAGGCCTGTCTGCAGGGTGCGTGGCTGCTGAATTTTGTTGTCGGATCAGAGTAATATTTGGAGGTGAATATTTTAAAAAACTATTCTGTTTTTATTTTTAAAGAGAGATGGGAAAAAACAGAGAAAACTAGAAGAGGGAGCGATCATATGAAAAAGGGTCAATTCTGATGTGATATTTTAATAGTGAAAGAGTCCAAGAGACAGATGTAGTAATTGCCTTGAGAAAAATTTGAAATGATTTTGAGAAGTGAGAAATCATAGAACATTTTATTGTGTATGGATGTGTCTACATATGTACAAATATTCTGAAATATATGTACAATAATGTAATATATAATAATATACTCTGGAATATATACTATCATACAATATATTATGCAGTAAAATATTATATAATGTAAATTATATGATCTATAATAATATAATATAGGCTTATATTGTATGATGTTATATAATAATATATTCAGAATATACAGTATATTCTGAAATATATAACATTATAATATATATAATTTGAAAGTTTTAAAGGATTTTGCTAATCTCTATAGAGCATAGGTATACAATTACTATGTAATTATTATTATAAGGCAGGGTCTCTCAGCCATACCACCTTACTATTTTTCATCCCGATCTTGCTTTATATATGCAAGTTATTCCCCATAAGGTAGATGTGTGTGTTTTAAATCTAGAAAGTGTAAAACACTAAATCTCTTATAGCAACTTAAATTTAAAATGTAAAAGCAGTCTGCTTTCCTCCCATTATATATATATACATATATATATATAAATTTCTAATTCTGTAACTATTCTCTGTTTTTTTATGTTACTTGACGATTAGATTTTTTAATGTTTATTTTGGAAAACATACATGCTGTTTTCCACAGGCCACTCTATGTTTATTAAGCTGTTTTATTTTCTTCAGGCAATAACTAATAGACAAATGTATTAAGATTAGGTTTGTCCCCTGTCTCCTCACACTAGAAGATAAGCACCACTGAAGCAAAGACTCTGAAGTGTTTTTCACTATTGTGTTCTGTCACTGAAGGTAGTTCTGGCTCAAGAACACGTGTTAAAAAATGAATGATTTAATGAATAAAGGAATGAATGAATCATACATGGCAAATATGAATATTGCATAAAAGTGCTAGATGTTATTATTGCCCAAGCTATATGGAGATGTAACAATTTCACATGTTTATGCAAGAGGGATATCTTTCAGTTCTTATTCAAATATATTATTTTACTTAAAATGTTATCTTTGCATTTAAATAACTGCTCAGTTCTTTAAAGTATTATTTGAAAACATTTCAAAGGACAAAAGCAAAATGAATAAGAGTTGTAAAATAGACATGATAGGATATAAATACTGATCTTATGATTATAAAAGAAAGGGACAGGAAATGTCTCTTTCTAATTGAGAGTAGAAAATAAAACTGTTTGTTAAATTAAGTAACTAGTCAATTTCTTTGTCCACTCCAGTCTATTACTTAAGAGTTTCAGAGAACATTTTAGTGTTGAACTTGCTATCAGAGTAATGTCATTACACTAATAGGTTCATGCAAGATTAAAATGGATAATTTCAGCTTCTGCTAGAAAATGACTTTTATTGCATTGACATACTTCATTTATTTTTATGGTTTAAAGGTGGCATGAACTCAAATTTAAACCAAGTGCCATAAAAAATTTTTGAAAAAAAATTGGGAGAAAATAATAAAATTTCACATAGTTATTAAACAGCAATTATTGCACATAGTTGGATAACAACCTTATACATTATTTTAGTTGAAGACATTTATATACATTCTTTCCTCGTTGTCTGTATAACTCTGAGGTCAAGACATAGGACATAGACATCCGAGCACTGCCTTCCTCCACAATACAACCACGAGTGAAACTATATGGAGGTTCTTGCCTTAGCAAAAGTGAATGAAACATATAATAACTTCAGAGGGTTTATGGATCTGTTATGTTTGTCTTTCTGGAATTGCCTTGCAATTTTTTCTTTTAAGAATTTTTCAGTAAATAAAGGTCAATTTGTCTCTTAGAAAATACAACCTAAGCATAGTTTTATTCATTCACATATTATTTGTAGAAAAATTGATACATTTATTATATTTTACAAAAACTCTAAAATTTCAAACAAAAGTAATGCAACAAAAATAATTCACACTTTAGTTTATAGTTTAATTCAAATAGAAATTATTATGAAATCCAAAATGGCATGGTATTTTACTATGTTCAATAAGTAATTGATTTAACTCTACAAATCATATAATCTTTAGAATATAATGGTTTATTATATTAAACTATATTATGAAGAATTATTTAGAAAAATAATTTCTATAACACTGAACGCTGATATGTTATAGCATTTACTTTGCCTTAGCATCTTAATATTGATAAGCTCTGAACAAAGGCTAAAGTTTATAATAAAATGCTATCAAATAGGTAAAATTATATTTAGTAACATTTCAAAATATGCTTGAAATATGTAGAATTTGGAATTCCATCTCCATTTTCAGACCACACTATTGTAACATAATATGTGAATATACAAATATTTTTAGCATAGACATAATTTCTCTACAAATACATGTCTTCCCCTGGTTTTATATGTCATTTTCTCTTTGTATTCCCCCTAGTGGAAAATCAAACTTATATAAACTTATACAAATTAACTAATTGTGGGGGGGGGGATTTTGACCTCAAATCCCCCCGTCCACCGCAGATGAAAGTAGACGCTACCAAGACATGATCTGCTTGGGAAGGAGAAGTGGCCAGTTTCTCAGAGGAAAAAGGTCAGGAGCCCCTTCCTCCAGGGGCTTTTATTGGGTTGTAATACACAAGAATACAGGGAGGCAAGGATCAAACAATAGATAACATTTCAAAGAAATCTGAGGGCTTAGTCTGAGTCAGTGTCTGTCAGGAAAGGGGGTTGCAGAAACTTTGGGAGACATACTCATTTCCTGCGCCGGACCCTTATCATATGAATGAAAACACTCTTATCAAAGCAGGTTTCACAGGATTTTTAGGAATTCTTTCTTATGCCTCATTACCCCAGATACTGCTCTAGCAAAGCAAGGAGCTGTACCACTTCCCCATCTTAGGTTTTCAGGCTTAAGTGCATTAGAGCCAGGAAGTGCTTCTCCCAGAGGACATGGGGACTCGGGCTATGTCAGAATAGCCGGGGGGCAAGGGCCCATAGCTCCCTCTTTGTCCCAGAGCCCCTGCCGAGTCCTTCCATGATGGCCTCCCAAGTGATTGTGTCTGGCTTAGGTTGGCCCTCCTCTGAGAAGTCTTACCCATCACCGACTATCCAAGCATTCATTGGGAGCAGGGGAGTAAGCAGAGACAAGCTTTGTCTCCTTGTGGCCCCCATTACTGAGATTGCTCACTCATCCTTAGCCTTGGGGGGTAGTTACAATTCCTGAAACCAGGCAGAGCGGTTCCCAACAACTAATAAGTTAATTTATTCATAAATATGGATATCTGTGCTCTAACTCATTAGATAGGTACATGATAAATCCACGTACGATTGCCATTGTATGACGACCAGCCACACATTCTGCTTTAAAATAAAGTCAACATTATGTATCATGCATTTTTTTAAGTAGTGAAGCTTCCTTCTAATACTCTTTTACTTTCTTAAATCACTAACGGGGTTAAGAGTCATGAAGCAAAAGGGAAGAGAAAGTAAGTACACCCAAACATAATAAAACCCTTTTACTCTCACTACCAACTCTCTTCAGCTACATTTCCACGAATAAAAATTCCAGCCAAGATTTCCATAGGATTGTTTAAGTCTGAATATCATGTTAGCTATACACTGCTTTAGACCTCACAACTTTGTAAATCTGCTTTAAAAAAATACTTTATTGTTGTTCAGGTACAGTTGTCTTCATTCCCCCCGAAACATTTCCCCCCACCCCAGCCATCCCCACCTCCCTCCCCTGCTTCCACCCCCCTTTGGCTTTGTCTGTGTCCTTTATAGTTGCTTCTGAAAACCCTTCTCACCTCCCCCTCATTATCCTCTCCCACCTCCCCTCTGGTTACTGTCGGTATGTTCTTAATTTTAACGTCTCTGGTTATATTTTGCTTGCTTATTTGCTTTGTTGATTAAGTTCCACTTAAAGGTGAGATCATATAGTTTTATTTTATTTTTTTCAATTACAGTTTACATTTAACATTATTTTGTGTTGGTTTCAGGTGTACAGCATACTGGTTAGACAATCACATACTTTACAAAGTGTTCTCCCTGATATTTGCATGTAACTGCCTGGCACCATACATAGTTATTACAACATTACTGACTATATTCTGTAGTATGCTGTACTTTATATCCCCATGACCATTTTGCAAGTACCAATCTGTACATTTCAATCCCTTCACCTTTTCCACCCTGTCCCCCATGCCCTTCTCTTCCGGAAGTTACTTCTTGGTGTTGTAGATTTCAGGGGACAATTGAAGTGATGGGAACCTGCTGCTGGAGACCGGTGCATCAGCTTTCTCAGTCTGAGTTTCTGGTGTTGGCCAAGTGACGTGTATTCACTGGTACTGTCCATGTGCTGTTTGTTATCATGGTGTCATTTGAAGGAGGCAAAATGTAGAAACAACCTAAATGTTCATCAAGGGTGAAGAGTGGGTCAGTTAGGTAAATGAAGTGCACTTTTTAAAAGATAAATGTACCTTTAATAGATACATGTATTTATATTCACTTACTAAAATAATGTAGACCTGTGTTCATTGCCAAAGAAAGATGTGGTAATAAAAATACTCAGGCAGTCAACCCCTTAACAAATATTTATTGAATATCAGCTACTAATGATTGCATATGTCTGTACTCACACACACACACACAGACACAAATATATGTACCCATTCATAAGTCCAGCAGAGGTCACCTCTGCTTGAGTATGATTGGTAGGGCAATAATATGGATGTAACAATTTATAGTTCAATTTGAACATTTCACCTAAAATACCATATGGTATGCTTGAGTGTGATATTGTTATATTACAGAATTATTGTCGGGTTGGGTGGGGTAGGAAATAATGGCAGCTGAACTACAACCCAAATGGCAGCTGAACTACAACCCAAAATGGCAGCTGAATTACAATCCAGAAAAGACGGTTGACATCGAAGCAGAGAGCCGAAAGGGCAGACTTTATCCACATAGCAACCTGAGCCTGAGGAGAACCACCAATAATATATTGTTGCTTTGTTCAAAGGGAACCAATCCCCAGCTTCCACAGAGAGCCAATGAAAATAAAACCCTGCCACATTCCTTGCTTGGGTGGTGACTTCTCTGCCCCATACTTTGTGGACCGTAGAATCTCGCCCAGATGTGCAAACCCCAATACAGCTCTATACTGCCTGACTTTGTGGCTGATTGGCATTTCTTCCTCAGCAGAGCCTAAGAAAACCTTTCAATTATATGCTTATGAATTTGTAATAAGAGGTTTTATAATAATAAAGGGCATTATTTGTGCCAGACTCTTACATGTTACTGACGAAAGTAATATAGTATGCCTTCTTAAATTACAATGGAAGTGAAAGGATGTAAGTAAGTTATAAAATATATTTATGCATGTCTTGCAAATGGCTCTAATTCATTGAAAGTTTATAATGTGCAAAATATGGTGCATAGTATTTTATATAATTCCCTTAAGTAATCCTCTCCACCAGATCCACTAGATCAAAAACCGCTAGATCCTCTCTGCTAGATCCAAAACACTAGATCCACACCTAGCACTCTGTACACAATAGAAAACTATCACCCTGAGGAACCCAGTGTATATGATAGAGCCTAGATTTGAAAGGAGTTTTATGAAACCTCTTAGTCATTTTTCAAAAATACTGTATCTTTTTATTTGTCTATTATTTAAGTGGATACTTTGAAATGATCTTCCAAAAGATTGTTCTTTTAACCAATAAAAATATAAGGACATTAATAAGTGCCTTATGGCATTGTCAGTGCTGATTATTTTAATGTGATTGCAGTTTCAGGCTCTGTGATTGTGCAGGGTGAGCTCCACTACTGGCTTTTCTTTTTGCAGTGCAAACACCTGACTTCAGCTCTGGCTACCTAGACATTGCTTCAAGGCAGTCTCTTCACTGACCAGAGGGAAGAGGGGAGGGAATTTCAGGGGGAAAGGGGAAGGGTTTACAGTAATAAGTATAAAGGACACATGGACAAAAACAAGGGGGGTGGAAATGGGAGGGAGGCAGGGAGGGCTGGGGGTGGGCTGGGCTGGGAGTAAAAGGCAGAAAAATGTACTTGAGCAACAATGAAAACAAAAATAAATAAATAAAAATAATTCATAAAAAGAGCAGTCCCTTCAATGATAACTATCTCGAATGAGCTCATCATCAGTCACAGAACTTTGATGAAAAGCCAGACTTTTCTTAACATTCTTTTGTTTTAGAGATCTTGGTTGCTCTGATACCTGATTATCTGGGCTTTTTGTTTTTATCTCCTGCTTTTCAAAATGTAGCTCATATGTTTTAAGTTCACCAATAAAGTGTGAGCCCTCAAAACTTTTGGCCCCCAACAAAAGCAGAACCCCAGGTCCACATTCTCTCTTGGTCTTCTCTCTATCTCTTCCCCCCATCCATACAACCTCCCTGTATGGCCCCCTGTACCATGTAATTTCTAGGACTTATAAGTAATAAATATTTTTGTCAAGTTTTCTGATGATTATTGCTGAAGATTTCCCGTGATCATAATAAGAAAAACAAAGACCAGTACAGCCACAACTTTAATTATCAACAAGCTGAGATGGACACAATACAGGCTAAGTGAACTTTTTCTTCTTACAGCATGGAGAAGAGTCATGAGCTTACTCTGGACAGTCTCACTTTTGTTTAGTTAACTGAATGAATTTAGAAGAAACAATCATGATAACCCCATGGCAGGAAGTAAAATTCTACTGCTTGTCATTCATAGACGTATCTGTTTTGTTTATCACCATTCCTTTCTGACGTTGAAAAAATCCTTGTTTTGGAACCTCTATTTCATCACTTTGTTCATAAAAATGTAAACACAAATACAGAAGCATATCATAACTGCACAGGAACCTCATTGATTTAATATGACTTTTTCCTTAATTCAAGCCAGCTTTGTTCCACTGAATAGCACTGATTCCCTTAAAACCTTTTTACCAAACCCTTCCTTCCATCTCTGCACATACTGCATGTCTACTCCCTTCATCACTAAGCCCTTAGTACGTTAAGTTTTGTTCAGAGTCAAACTGTCTTAAGAATAAAGCTTCAGGTCCATTGACCATGTCTACAGAGTTTTGGTCAAACCAAATATAACTTTTTGACCTCAGTTATGTTTCAGCCCTAGACTCAAAAAGTTGGAAGGACCACATCCTCGTGAAATGGCTAACATCTGGATCTGATGCCATGATCAACTATTACTTACCCAGGCCCCAACCAACCAGGAGAGCCCATGATCTCAACACCCCAGCTACCATGACTAATGATATTTTCCCTATATATTATCTCCCCTAGAGGCTCCTGGGGAACCAAGTCTTAAAGGATTATGAGCTTACCTGTGTTTCTGGGCTTGGCTCCAATTCCCTAAGTAAACATTTACTTTTTTTGCAAACTCTTTCCTGTTTATATTGTTTGGGACTTTGATGTGGAATGGTAAGTGAACTTTAGTTTGGCAACAATATCATAATGACCTTAGAAGGCTATTATATAACTTTCCAGCAATATCTTGAGATCTTTGAAAATAATTCTTGTTAAGAACCATAGGTAGGTTATGTGAATCTAAGGGGGTAATGAAGCTATATTCTGCATTTCTGCAGTAAAGGTCTGTCTGTTTTTTTCTGCAACTTCTAATTAGGTCTCATGTTTCTAATTGTCTGTGCAGTTCCTATAAAGTCACAACACTTCAGAGAAAGTTAATGATTGAGAGTTACCATCCTATTAGCCAAGGGATTGATGTTAGATAATTACATTGTGAAAGATAAGAGCTAACCAGCTTAGCACACTTTCTTAGCAAAACCAAAATGTTACTTCCCAAATGTTATTATTCACACTTCGTTTTATAATGAAAGCAGCATATAAGGCAAGAATAAAGGTGACAGTGAGATATGAAGAATGTTAGCAGTTAACGTGAATGTAGTTATATATTTTCACTAATTTAGTAATAATGCTAAATGTATTTGTGCAGCTTGCAGGCACAGGCAACCTAATGAACTTCAGGCACAAAATAAAGAAAAGTAATTGTTATGAAGTTCATGGCCAACCTTATTGTACTTACTAATACAATTAATTCAGTAACAAGGTCTCTGATTTCTAGGACAGTGCAATTCAAATAATTTAAGATCCAGGATGTTAAACTATACATTGTGCTACATATGTAGAATTCAACACTGAGAAGATCAAATTTCTTCCCTGAGACGTAGATTTCTACTTCCCCTAGAAGTAGAAATGTGCCATCTAACGGATGAGAGAGAATCCATGCATAGAAATAATCCTTTGTGCAAATACTTTACATGAACTATAAGAGCAGGTACTATATGAACTAAACTTCACGGATTGGTATGACTTTGTCAAAATGAGTGGGATAAAAATAAAATTCCAGGCACAACAAATAGCATAAAAAGCAGTTGCGGTGAAACTGTATAGAGTATTGACACAATAGTTTGCAGCCCAGTGCAGCTAACATGGAGAGTGAGCAGTCAAACAAAAAGGTGGATAGAAATACATTAAACAATGAAATTATCAGCTCCATTTTTTGAAAGATAACCCTGGTAGCAATTTGGGGTAGGTATGTGGGGAGGAACAAAGACTAAGCATTCTTTTTTAGCCAGAATTTCAGTGAGAGAGAAAGAGAAAGCCTCAGAAAGTGCAGTGGGGCTGAATGGGCCGGGGGTACAGGCAGAGATCCAGACAGGTATGAAAAAGCCAACATCAGTGGGTTGTGCTTCATGGGGACATTTAAAGAGATATAAAAATTTCAGCTTTAAAAAGCATGTGATTGCTTTGAGAACTTTCATTTATTTCATTTTACATTTCTATGAGATACTTATCATCATGCTTGACTTGCAGATCAAATAATTGAAACCTTGATATCCAATATTTTACTCAATTTCACAAAAAACATTCAAATGTATTTAAAAGACACAAAAACCCAAATGGAGTCACTTGTGCTAATCAAACCAAGACTTAGTACCTAACTGACTTGTGGTGATAACCTTCTCCAGTAATGTAGTCTTACCTGGTCAGTGTGGAGTCCTCAGTCCAACACCATCATGTAATCCTGCATCCCCCAGAAGAAAATGCTTTTCCACATAGACCATTGCATACCTCATAGTTAGATTACAGAAGTCTAAAATAATGTTTTGGTTTATCGCTTCTTTGTTATAAGTATTGTAAAACAAGAGTTAACATAAAAAAGAATTTGTGGCATATATCATTTTTCAATCATCATAAAAGAAAAATATTAATATGTTCATTATTAATAAGCATTTGATGAAGTGAATATCTTCACGTTTGATGAAAGTGTGAAATTGTCCATGCATTGTAGGAGGAAATCAGAATCACCTCTGCCAAAGAAAAACATATCCATATCGTTCTATTCCGGCATTTTATCTTCTAGTCTCTGTCCCTCTTTCTCTCCATCTTGTCCCGCTGCAAATGTGAGGGAGAAATACTCAGAGCAACACCGTTTATAATGAAAACAATAAGAATCTGTTCAGTAAATTATAAGTACTAAGCCACTCAATGTACAGATTTTGAGACGTTCTCTGAGACGTCACACTGTTAACTGAAAAACAGCAAGTCTCTTAAAGACAGCTATAGTACAACCCTTTTATGTAAGCACCTGTTGAGACATACTGGGCCCATGGTATATGACAAATAAACACATGTTTATACAAAGATTTTTGTCCTTGCAATCTTAGAAATATAACTCAGATATATTCTTCACGGCTGTTCATAGTTTTCACATGTAAGGCTGAAGAATTTCGTATACACCAAGATGTTATTAAATTATGTACAGAGCTATTCAACATTACATTTACTTCAAATTAATGAGCTATTTTTTTTCACTTTGGCCCAAACAGTAAAGAATTTATCACTGGAGTTACTGATTACTCAGTATTTATCAAATGTCTGTTACATGCAGAGTGTGGGGCTCCAGAACGAGTCACCCCGAGATTTGCTCTGTGGTACGCAGATTGTTTTAAGCTAAAAGTAACTTTAGCCCCAGGCTCAAAAGAAACTTCTGCACTCCCCCCACCTCCTTAACTACTGAGAAGAATTTGAATTAGAGGTTTTGTCTATAAGAGATTTTCAGAGATAAGTTCTTTTGCTCTATCTATAGGGCAAGGCGAGTTTTTATTTACTAAAGTTCTGTTTCTTTTATCAGCTTGCAATGACCTTTTGAAGCCCCCTCATCCCCACCTCAGGGAGTTTTGTTGTATACACCCATTCTCCCTTTCATCTCCGAACCTCTCCTGCAGATGGGGTCTCTGGTTCTCTCAGGAATACAAGGTTGCCATATGCGACATCTGTCCAGAAGGTATCCAGCAATATCACATAAAAAATAGAGGCATTTATTGAAGAAGATATAAGATATAAGAAACATTGTACATAGGACAATGACACCTCAGTCCCCTTCAAAGTAGGCACCTGGACCTCACACAGTTTGCCCAGTCACCATCAGCTGCCCCGTCATGTTCTACTGAATCTGATAAACGGTCTGAAATCTCTTCCCTTTCAAAGGTGATTTAGTTCTAGGAAAAGCCAGAGGTCACAGGGCACCAAATCTGGATTGCAGGGGGTGCTGAGTCACTCGGGTGCTTTGATGTTTTGCTAAAAAACTCTGTATGAGATGTTATGCAAATGCAGCCCCACTGTTGGGATGAAGCTGCCAGTCACCAACTGCTCATAGCTGCAGTCTTCTGAATGATCCAAATAATTTCTGTGAAGGAATGTTCTAGCTTAATGCAAAATTTGATACAGATTCATAGCTCTACTCAAAGTCATTTTCAAAGTGATGGCCACACAGTACACAGGCTCACTCAACTTGAGTCTACTGCACCCACTATTACAGTGAAGTCATCATTGTTCACACATGCACATTCCAGTCCACTCTCCACTCTCCTTGGATGGCAGGGTACATCGTTTTCATAAAAACCATTCTCATTATATTAACAGTGTAACAATGGATTGACTTTTTCCAGATGAATTGTGTGTGAATTTCCAGATGAATTGTGTGTATACACTGGATATGGATATCCAGTGTATACACATGTGTAGATATGCATATACACACATGGACACACATGCATTGATGTGTATGTACATATATACCTGTGTGTGCATATATGCATATATGTATAGACATACACACAAAGTAAATCTGGTTATTTTCTCTCGCTAATCTGTCTTAGTTCTATTGGATTATTATACCAGCCAGAATAATCTTGAAGATAGGGGACAATTTGTTCTACCCCACAATAATAACATGTTAAACTCATATTTTGTGTCAAAACTCATGACTGACTTTCCTTTGGTTAAGATTACGAACTGAAACAAACACTTCATGAATTTAACATTCACTAATAAATCTCTAGATTGTTTTGCTTCATTATCTCTTAATAAACTGTTAATCTAGCAGCCAGATATTTTGACTGTCTTCTAGACATAAGTGAAAACAAATAGATGATAAAAGGTTTTTTCTTAAAAAATATTTTTATTACTACTTATCCAATTTGTTGAAAGACACATTTTCTTGAGATTAAAATCCTATAGAAAACATTTTTATATCACATATATTACATAATTCAAAAATATGTTTTTATAACAATCAAAAAGTTACAGAAGTCATTAATGTTTGACAGGATCATATTTTCAAAGTATATTCCATATATTATATATATTATTTTATATATAATTATTTTATATATTATTTAAGTTCTAGTTATGTTAGGGGTTTTGATAGAGATTGATAGCTCAGAGGAAGATTTTAAAACATGAGCATTAGATTTGATGAAATTTTATGAAATTTATTGATAGCAGTATAAAGGTTCAATAGCTTCTTCTCTAGATACCTCTGCAAGAGAGAAAGAAATATCAAACTTCAAGCAAACTTCATTTATATAAATATTATATATATACAATTTGTATATAAAATATTATTTATAAACATTATTTGTAATAATACATTATTATTATTAATATATTTATTGTGTGTTTTCTTTGGAGAAGTAACTAAAAAATAGCCAATATATTTGGCTATTGTAAATAATGCTGCAATGGCCATAGAGGTATATTTATTATTTTGTGTTATTGTTTTGGGCTTATTTGGATATATACCCAGAAGTAGAACCACTGAGTCATATGACAGTTCCCTTTTTAATTTTTTGAGGAACCTCCATCTTGTTTGGAGGTTGCACCAATCTGCATTCCCACCAATAGTGCAAGAAGGTTCTCCTTTCTTCTCATCCTTGCCAAAACTTTTTGCTTATTTATTGATGATAGCCATTCTGACAGGTGTGAAGTGATATCAAATTGTGGTTGAATTGGCATTTCTCTGATGATAGTGATGTCTATTGGCCATCTGTGTGTTTTCTTTGGAGAAGTAACTATTCGGGTCTATTTGTTTTCTTCCTTGGTGTTAAGTTGTATGAGTTCTGTATACATTTTTTATATTAACCGATTATACTATTTATGATTGGCCAATATCTTCTCCCAGTTGGTAAGCTATCCTTTTGTTTTGTTGATAGTTTCTTTTGCTGTGCAAAACCTTTTTAGCTTGGTCCAATTTGTTAATTTTTTTGTTTACCTTGCCCCAGGAGAGATATCAGAAAAAATATTGCTACAAGAAATGTCAGAGATTTTACAGCCCATGTTTTCTTTTAGGGTTGCTATGGTTTCTAGTTTTACAGTTAGGTCTTTAATCCATTTTGAGTTTATTGTTTATGTGGTATAAGAAGGTGGTATATATATACAATAGAATATTCTTCAGCCATATAAAGAGAAGGACATCTTACCGTTTGTGACAACACAGATGAACCTAGAGGTTATTATGCTAAATGAAATAGGTCAGACTGAGGAAGACAAGGACCATATGATTTCACTTACATGTGTAAAGAGTAAAACAACAAAATAAAAAAACAGTCATAGATACAGAAACACATTGATGGTTGTCAGAGGGGAGGAGGGTGAGGGGCTGCATGAAAAAGATGAGGGGATTAAAAAGTATGAATTTGTAGATATAAAATACCTCTGGGGACATGAAGTACAGCATAGGACATATAGTCAATGATATTGTACTAACTATGTGGGGTGACGAATGGGTACTTAAAGTATGGGGGTGACCGTTTTGTAACGAATGTTGTCTAACCACTATGCTGTACACCTAGAATTAATACAAACTAACACTAAATGTAAACTGTCATTGAAAAATAAAATTTAAAGGGTAGGGAAAAAAGAGTACTAACTAGCACTAAGGTAGTCATACTGCTGTCATTAACTGGCTGTGCAACCCTGAGATTAACCTAAGTTTACTTCTCTGAACCTCACTTTTCTTTCTGATAAATGAAGCATGTTGACTAGATTTTTTAAAAAAACAAAGACACAAATAAAAACATCAAACAAACAGTTTCTTGGAGAATGTGGATGTGGTTGCCTTGTGCCTGATCTGTCCTTATCTCTAGAATAATTTGCAGAAACAGTGACATGTGCTTTACAGAAATATTCAAATGTGTTTAAATGAATAAATATAAATATTTGCCTCAATGAATTAAATAATTTATTGATGACCAGGGACACAGAAGAAAAAATAACTTTCCTCTGAGTACATATCTGTGCAATAAAAAATTATTTACAAAACATTTATTATATTTATGTAATAAATAGGCTACTAAAGATTTAGACACAACATTGCATAAGTCAGAAGTCACCCCTGCTTTCAGGGTGTAAGCCTCTTATAACCAACACCACTTTAATTAATTCAATAAAAATTAAATAAATTTTAAAAAGATGTGGGCATCTTACAGAAAGCTGAAATTAAAAAAATAAGCTAAATACTAGCTTAAATGAAGGTTACTTTAGATGCACAGAGGGAGCACAAAACCTGGAGAAATAAAAAGGATAAATGCATTACTAAAGACAAGAGGGTGAAAAAAGAATAGATTATAAACACAGCAATTAGAGAATTATATTCTTTAAAATGTTTTTGGTTTTCTTAGATGTACATGGTAGGTCTCTGGACTTCTCTTTTCTCAATACCCTAACTGTAAGACATCCAGGAAGTCTGTAATTGTTCTCTGTGATTTGAGTTACACAGCTTTCAAAAAATTTCTTGTGACATTACCCTAATTTTGACACTTCTCACCTTTGTTTTAGATAACTGCCATAGTTTCTGAGCGCATCTGTTGACTCTCACATAGAACTTATTCAAGTGTATCCTTTTTATTAGTGATTAGTACTTACCTGGAAGTTGAGGTCAATCACACAGCACATGTCTTTCAGATCACATGATGGCTCCACCACATTAACATCCTTACCGTGATAATTACAACTGCTACTTATGTGACATTAATGTAGCTTTGTACCGTCTTTTTAAACCAATCTCACCATAATAAACCCATTGCTATTCCAGTGAAAAGAGGACCTACTGTTACCTAATAATATTTTCTCAACCTTATTTCATTGGCCAACATTTGTTGTAATTTATTCATCCACTTAACAAGAATGCATTATCTAAACTACTCCAGGTATCATTTTTTGGTACTAAGGAAATTAAACATTAGAATCAGTCACTGCCATAAAGGAAACACAGTCACGTAAGAGTTCGACAAGGAAGATAAAATTACAGTGCAATACAAAAAGTGTTTCAACATTTTTTCATCTTGGCAAACAGTACAATTTCTTATGCAAAGAAATCCTTCTTAAAGTCTTGGGTTAAAGTAAAATATCTTTCCCTTTTTTTTACTATAATAAAGCTTTGTTCAGATCTTCATTAGGATGCTTTTTCAATGTTTTTGAATTATAATTAGTTCATTCATTTATTCCATGAGCATTTCACTATCCAGTGTGTGCTAGATGTTTCCTGTGTGCCCCCTACTGGCTTATAAATTCTTTTAGAAACAGAAATGTATGCCTTATTATTATTCATCAGTGTCTACACAGCTATTTTGTGAGGAATAAATGCAATATTCTTTCTATGATAGAATAAATAAATAATTTTAATACAGTACTGGGAGATGACTTTCTGATTATAAGAAGAATATTGAACAATAAAGCTTGTTTCATAAGAGCTAATCCTCTATTACACTGCCTAATTAAAAATATTTAGAAACACACAATAATGTTCATATGTTACTATTTCTTAACGAGAGTGCATCTAATGTATTTTGTTTAGTTTGAGAATTTGCTATTTAAGAGTCATATTGAAAAAAATGAAGTGTGTACAAAGACATAAATACGATGATGACATTTTGGGATCTTAATTTATGGGAGAAGAGTTGAAAAGTTAGAGAACTGAGAACTGCTATCTCTGTAAAAAGAAGCATAGTGAGGAGAAGAGAATACGAGAATTATCATTATTAAATTTTATATTTTCATTCAGACAGAAAACAGACTTAATGCAAAGTATATAATTGAGTGGTAGAGTCAGATTTGG